TCCACCTGATTATGGTGGATCCTTTTTATAGCTTGCTTCTTCTTTTTTATTTGTTTTGGTTGTTCCTTTGTGTGTGTCATATTATTTACTTCTCTGATATCTTCTTTTCTTTATGTCATTTACTTTTCAATTATTTTCTCCTTTTTGTGATGTAAAAAATGGAAATAGTAGTTTATTGTTAATTAACTATATATTCTACATTAATGAAGTTCATTTCTTGTTTAATGTTTAGTTTTTTTCCACTTAGTGTTCTTATTTAGTGTTTATTATTTTATATTTTCCTTAAAAATATTTTTTTTTTAATCTCCTTTCTTTCAGAATTTCATCCTCAAATGGGGAGTTTCAGAGAATGTCAAAGGGCTTTGAAATTTTTAACAACAATATTTGTCATTTGCAAAAAGATGGAGATTGTTACAAATCTGAGCCCAAGTACTGTGATTTTGATGATAACAAATATTACTATTTCTTTATAATTGCTATTATTGCATATCTATTTTATTTTTCCTACTTATTAACCTTTTAGTTTCATAAGTTCACTTGCAATATAAATCAGCTCAAGATCTGGTAGACTAGGTTGAGTATGTTTATAATTTTAATTTTAATATACTTTTTACCTTTTTTGAGTCAAGTCATGTATCTGGTGGATCCCAATCTAAGTAACTCTATATATACACAAACTCAAGAATGTGGGTTGATGAGTTAGAGAATTTTTTTAGTTTTCAACCTAATCATATAAGACTATTTCTATCATATTAGAAAATTAGTTAAAAAAACCTAAATTAGGGCTTCCATATTATTTAAGAGTGATTAAACTAATTATATTATACGATCCTTATCGTACGGAACGATCTGTTCAGATTGTATAAAATAATATCTAATCATAATTTAGGTAGTATTTTAATTTTCAAATTTTATACATATCGTACAGGATGATCCTCATCATCCTGGATAATAGATGATAATCATGCTTAAGTTAATCCTATGATTAGGAGAATAATTATGATAAAATTTGATTTGATCTGATCGTATAGGATAATTATTGATGACAGAGAACATGCATGTGATTATAAGGGATCATCACCTATCATACCAAATGAATACCATAGTTATTCAGCTAATCGTCCATGACAATTAACCCCTTCCATACAAGGCGATAGAAAATTATATAGAATGATAAGGCATTATCGAGTATCATATTAGATAATGTTCATGACTAGTTTTATACTAATAGTCCATAATGATATTCTAATCGTTTGGGATAATCCATGTATTTCTCTTAAACTAATCATACAGGGCAATGCAATTTGTACTACAGAATTGGTAATTTTGAATTAATTGTATAGAACGATCATATGATCGTACTAGACAATCAGTGCCGCCAGATTAAAACTTATGACTTTTTTTATGGATCTCTATTTAAGCTCTCATATTATCCTTGAGTTAATCTTTTGATGTTGGGCTGACCTAAGAGAGAGCTTAGAGAAGGAAGAGAGGAGAGCTTTGAGAGAGAGAGAGAGAGATAGATCCTTTTAAGGTGAAATTATGAGGGACTCACAATGGTTGCTCTAAGAAAGGTTTCCACCATCTTTGTCAAGCTTCTTCCTTAGTTCTTTGGTGTCTCTGCGAGACTTTCGTCAGCATCTGATCCAAGTTTTTTTAATCTAGGAGGGAGTAAAAGGTTTCTGAGTTTCTCTGCCTACTCTAAGAGGGAGTAAAAGAAATCTGAGGTTATATGCCTACTCTATGAGGGAGTAAAATAATTCCAAGGTTCTTTGCCAACTATAGCAGGGAGTAAAATCTTTGTGAGTTTTATTCAAGCCTTGTTGTGAGAGCAAAAGAATAGACATTACTTTTAGCACAATACTTGGAAAGAAGGTTTCCAATGAGTGAATATAGGTCAAGTTGACCAAACCATTATAATTCTAGTCTGTTCTTTCTATTTTCTTTTTCATATTAAATTTCTGCATTATTTTGTGATTTGTTATGTGGTCAAAATCTATGATTTTTTTATTATGAAATTAGTGTTGCTTTCGTATAAATTGTTTGTTTTAAAATATTCAAAATTATATAAAAAAGATTTTCCTTTTGCATTAAAAATTTCTTAAATAACCAATTCACACCCCCTCCTCTTGGTTAGCATCGTGCGATTTCATAAATGTTTAACAACCATTGCGAACTTTTATATATAAGTGGAGAAAAAAGTATCGTAGAGAAAATACTTTGACTCATCATGGTGAGAAACTTATTACTTCTCTTATACTTTTATGAATAAAATGAATATGAGTTTGCCTGAAATTTAATTTATGTTTAGCTAGATCTTTTATTTGGGCTGATTTGGTTAAGGGCATATCTATTACTAATGTTGACTCTTGTTCTTTAATAAAAATAATGATATTTTGATTGTCTCCCATTCTTGATTTGATGCATACAATGATAATATGTGTAGTTGAAATATATTGTGATGTATAGCCTCGACAGATGAATGCAAGAATAACTAAAAATATTGAAATAAAGTATTGGCATGCCGAGACATAGGATATTTGAATATTCTAAGTTCTCTAGAGATCGTAAAATCATAGGAAGATTAATAATGTTTTTATCATCCCAACAAGCTTGACAGAGATCTAGGGTTGCACATACTTTGATCCACATGTACAATAAAGGGTCTCATTAGAAAAAAAAAATGTTATCTACATGCATCAATTAAAAATAATTTATTAAAATTGTATCAACTTATTTACTATTTCCTTTCAGTGGTAGGAACTCAAAAATCTCTTTTTCATTTCAGTAAGATATATTCATGTAGTTTTGTTTCAATATAATATATCACTTCTTCGTGGGTTCAACACTAATTTATTATGTTATTACTAGATTTAGTAGGTATACTTACATAAATTAATTGGGTTGTTTTAAATTTATATCAAATAAAATCTAAGCATATTTCAATTCTAGAAGTTACATTAGCTTCCCATTATCTTATTAGATCATATGCCCCCCATTACTTAACAAAAAAAAATTGAAATGGATATATAATCGCAACAAGCTCAGATGTAAGCTGAATTGCAGGCATTCATGGTGGAGCATCGCCAACAGGAAGAATAACAGGTGGAGGAAAGTGAGAAGGAGGAGATAGATGACAAGAAGATAGGCTTTTTTTAATATTTTTTTATTAAATAAGTGCAATTGTTAATATATTGTATAGTTTCGAGTTACTCGTAGACTTTGTGATTGTAATTTGTAAATGTCATTGTTGGTTTTGTTCAATCTTTAATTGATGCAAAGTGAGTTTAATTGTTTGTGTAATATATTTTTATGTGATGCTTATTGAGTAATTTTACTATTGATCATTGTTTAGTGCAGGTGTATAAATACGAAATATTGAAAGGAATGTTATCTTTTTTATTTGCCTTACGAGTTTTTAGTAAATTTTGAATAAAAAAATTAAATCCATCGGTAATATCGATAAATGCCTTTCCAGTGCAGTTATGACAAAAATGACCATCGAAAAATTTTTCAGCCTTAGTGGTGGACAAATTTAGCAGCATTTCTGAGGGAAATGCCTGCTACAAATTCTAATGATTCACAATAGCCTAAGCCTCAAAAGTACCAGTGGTATTTCGATGTAATATTTTTGACAAAATCAAGATTGTGAAAATTAGATTGGACAGAAAATCGAAATAATGAGTGGTTAATGTTTAATAGTTTTGACCACCGTTGAATCGGATAATCTAATAAATATTAAAATTTTGTAAATGTTATCAAAATAACATAAAAATAATAGAATAATTATACAATAATGTAAATTTGTGATAAAAAATTAAATCAAATTTAAACATAAATTATGTATTTTATAATTTTGGATGTAAACATATTTGATCTTTAAATTTAATTCACATTTAATATTAAATTAGTTTACATATAAGTTTATAAATTTTAAATAAATATTTTTTACTTTGTGTTATATATTTAGATATAATTTATATCTATGAATTGTATGCAAAATTTATATTATAAAATTACATCTATAAATTCATATTATATCATATATTATTAAAAAATATAAAAAAATTAATTTTTATTTTATATAATTAAATAAATGAGAAATTAAATGTTATTAACTAAAAATCAAACATTATTCGCAAAAAAATTTAATGAAAAATTTGTAGTCCATGTATAGTGAAGTTGAAAACTTTATATTAATTTTTTACACCCATGTCACTGAGCATTATATTTTAGTATTGTTTACATTGCTTTTTTGGTTCACCTGGGTTTAAAACGTTAGGTAGGATAATGGGCCATGTAAAAAAGTATAATTGAGGTCGTTTAAAATAAAATATATAAAATATAAATTAATATACTAAGTTAAATATTTTGTAATAAATTTATTATATACTAGTTGGTTTTGAAATAAAATATTTTATATAAAAAAATCGATTAGTTTTTGAAAACGGGCACCGATTGGCCAGTCAAAAGCTTTACTAGTACTGAATTTTCATTAAAATAATCTCAGCCATTTACATGTTGATAATATTCGTGCCATCAAAATTACTAGAAGTATAATTTATCATGTGGTAGTGACATGAGAGTGTAGAGGAAACTGTCTTTTATCTAGTAGATAATGCTCTTCAATATTGAGCGCTTTTTGTGGTTATTTTTGTGAATACTCATGCAATTGCAAATGGGACTATTACAATGGTAATTCAACTCCGCCATTTGCAATTTCTTGAGTTTTCAGAAAGAAGTTGTATTCCTGTAATAAGAAACAATAATATTGCTAAAGAAAATGAGACTTTTACCTTCGAATATTCGTGAGGTTGATTACCTTAGAAATAAATCCAAATATTTCTAACAGTTTTAAAATTGTCCTTATTACATGAAATCATGTTACAAAACTCTTAACCAAATTTTGTGCTCGACTCTTTACTTTTAAAACTTCAAAAATAGAAAAATACATCACCCAACCAACATAGATGCATATAAAATTATTTGGAGCCAATCCAAAGCTCGAAATAAATCTTTAAAATCAATAGATAGATAACACTTGTGATATTCATATACTAACTAACCTTGACACTTTTAAAAGTATATATAAATATATATATATTTATAAATCAAGCGTAACCACAGGTGCCGTACTCGCACCGCTGCTTATGCCTGCAAACTTTACCACATTCGCCGCAATTGTTAACATCATAAGCCACGGTCGCACAAACGCCGTTGCAGCAAAGTTGCCCGAAGCTGCATTTGTGGCCGCAACATCCGCAATTGTTTCGGTCGGAGAGGACATCACGACATTGGTTCTTACAGCAGCTCAGCTGCTCGTTCCGTTTCCTTCCGGTTGTTTCAGCGTGGCACACATTACTTTCCTCCGATGAGCAATAATGCTTCCCATTTTTTGGATTTTCAGCGAGAAGTCGGCTACCGGCCCTCGGGCTCAGCTTGATAAAGTCCTCTTTAACGAGGCCGGCATAGTTGGCTTGGACCGGGGAGGCAATATTGTTAAGAATAGATAGGGCGGTGATGGCTATGGAGAGGAGAGCTCGAGACATTTTTTTGTCTTTGTTGTGACCTATGAGCTCTTTCAGGTTGGCTTGGGAGGCTGGTGAGGGTTTTTCAAAGAAGGGGGAGGGTTCATTAAATATTTTTTCTGGGGAGTTTGAGTTTAGTTGAAGTGCTTCGTTGGATTTTTCTGTTTGAGGCTGCACATGCCATTAATATTTTTATCAACAACAACAAGGGTCAAAATTGTTAATCGGTAAGAAATTAAATGAAAAATTGTTAATCAACAACAACAAAGATCATTTGGATATATATATGCCAAGCCTTGTCCTTCTCATATACCTAAGGGTTCTGCTTTCTCCTAGATGGATCAGTTCATTTTTCCATTGTCATCAGCCGATTTTGCCCTTACACCGGATGCACTTTTTTTTTTTTCAAATTAACCTATGTTTTAATTATCTAAAAAAAGAAAAAAATATTAAATATTAATTTTTATAATTTATTGCTATTTACATTGACTAACAATAATTTAGGCTTTTTAAAAAATTAACTGAATTTAAAGTCCGTTATAATATATTTTGTATCAAAATATACGGATGTGATTTTTTTCCTAATTAAATTGAAATAATAATTGCTACTTCAAAGTCATCAGCCAACCCAAAAATAAAATGATACAGTTCAAATTTTCTTCAAACATCACAGAGATTTAATTTTATTTTGGTCAGTTATTTAGTTTTGTTCTGACGTTCGTGTAAGGCAGTGGAATATATAAATTTAAGCTGGTCAGGAGTGTCATGTAGTTATTAGTGACAGTATATTTTGCTTGCGGCCTTTTAAATATAGTTTGTTATTATAAAAATTTATTAAAGTGAAAAATTTTGTACTAGAAAGTTAAGAAAATATTCAGGATAGCATTTGGCCGCTATATTTAAGCTATTTTAAAAATATTTTTACTACAAAGTTATTATAGAAAGCTTAAAAAAATTATGCTAGATTTCATTTGGACAACTTTCTTATTATTTTTGAAGCAGTTTTTTAGAATCAGTTTTAGAAATCAATAAGAATGGTGTCTCAAAGAAAACTTGGGTGAGAAGTGAAAATCTGCATTCCATATATCACATATCATATATTAATGGGATATATATATATATTCTCTTTTGTATCAATAACTTAGAAACCATTTCCTAATAATAATATAAGGTTTATTTTTTTTTTTTGGGAAATTATAAGGTTTATTTTAAGGGGAATATATTTAGCTATTAAATGCTTTGAGGAATGGAACCAGTTGGCTTAAGAGCAGATGAGGCACGCAGGAGAGATCTTCTTCTGCGCCGGGCATCGCTTACTTGGCGGTGACGGTAGCATGAGAGCGTTTTTAACATGTTGACTTGTAACATTGACTTGATTTGTATGTGGGCTTGAGGATATTTAAAATGGAGATACTGATTCTTATTTTTTTGTTTAAACAAACAGATTTAAGCTCGTCCATTAATGACGAGTTTCAATGGCGAGAGATCCAAAGCTTGGCAACAAGGGTTATGATAGTTCCTCCTCGGGATCTAAGAGCTGTTTGCTACCGTGCTTCCATCTCCGCCCTGACAGGCAGTTCTTATCAAGTGTGATTAATGTACAATTTTACTTATGCCGCAATCTAATGGTATGAGATTTAGATCTGCATATGCGTATTAATGAACAAAGGTTCATCACAAAGGCATTCTAGCTGATCAACTATGATCCAATCAACTTTAATTTAACAGGTTAAGAAAATACATGCATGGATATCAACCTTTAAGGCTAAAGGAAACTGATCAAAACGAACGCAGATAGAATTTGCTACCGTGCTTCCATCTCCGCCCTGACAGGCAGTTCTTATCAAGTGTGATTAATGTACAATTTTACTTATGCCGCAATCTAATGGTATGAGATTTAGATCTGCATATGCGTATTAATGAACAAAGGTTCATCACAAAGGCATTCTAGCTGAACTATGATCCAATCAACTTTAATTTAACAGGTTAAGAAAATACATGCATGGTAATCAACCTTTAAGGCTAAAGGAAACTGATCAAAACGAATGCAGATAGAAATGACAGAAACTGTTTTCGTTGAATTCAAATTTGACTGTGGTTGAAATGCGAACTCTATTAATAAAAGCCGATCAAGATGAGAGAGAGAGAGAGAGAGAGAGAGAGAGAGAGAGAGAGAGAGAGAAAGAGAGAGAGCATAATAATATTGGAAAGTTGAAGAATGGGGTTAACATAATAATATGATTTCATTAATCCAGTCTTGATGGTATTGGATATATATAGTAATTATTTGATTCCCATGACTCTTTTTTTGAAATCAATGAAAAAATGAAAGTTAATCATCTCTAGCAATTCAACCTAGGTGTTCTTGATCTTGATGCTATTATTCATTCTTCTCTTGATTTGACTGACAGTCAATATTTTGGCTACTTCAAGTTTATAAATAGGCATCAACTTTTTTTGAAGATCGTGCTTGAGTTCCTCTCATACCTTTAAAGATACATAAGAAATTAATAAGTATACTAGTAAAAAATTTCTCGATTGCTAATATTAGAAAGTAATATGGAACTACAGAAGCATAAATATGTTATTGAGTCATCTTCTTTTTTGCCTTTGAAGAATTAATATCTATACTAAACCTCATGAAATTGGGGAAGGTTAATGTTTAGAGCTATACCAAACATAAGGATATTGTAGAGGCCATAGTAAGTGATCTTCTTGGTAAACTCTTCCCAAAAATAGATATTAGTTTGACTCATTTTTGTCTTAGTAATACCACAATTGTGTAAAATGTTAAGAAAAAATGAGTTATCAACTTCTTGATCAGGTTGTCAATTAGAGATGGGGATCAATATTTTGTAGCCATTATCAAAAGGATTCAAATAAGAAATACTGAGGTCAAAGTGATATGGGGAAATCTATTGAGGTGTTGAGTTTAATTTTATAAATGTTGGCTCAATTACTTCAATTCTAGGAAGTTTGAGAGTCTCATTATGACGCCGGAGCTGAGCCATTAGTTGTGTTAACTTCAGGATAATTCAATCCATTTGGTAGCTTATCTGGCTACATAGATTTAGTGCTTTCATTTGTCTTGTGTAGCCTAGTATGTTCACTACAGGAAAAACAGTGAAAACCGGCGGTTTGAACCGGCGGTTTAGAGGCCGTCGGTTTTCACTGTTTTTCCTGTAGTGGTTCCTTCTTTTGGGCTATAAATAGGTAGCCAATGTCATGTAATAGAGATAGATTTGGAGATGAATAATATTTGAATAGTTTTTACACTGCTTTTGGGTTTCTCTATCCTGAAGGATTTCAGGTGGTGATCCCTCCCCCAAGAAGGAGTTCTTGGTCCCGTCACCGGATCCTCGACGTGGATTCGTCGAGACCCCTACCTGGCCGGTGTCATTTGGTATCTGAGCCGGCAAGTTGCTGTCGTTCTTGTCCGTCGTTGCGTCACATCCGTCGTCGGAGTCATTTACTAGCAGCCCATCCCCCTCACACTCCAAACAACGATCTCCACTCGCACTCGCACTCAGGCAGTCAGCAGTCATAGTTACTCTTCCTTGAAGATCACGTCTGGATCAGTCCTTCCGAGAGGTTCGTCATGCCAAGTGGTTGAACCTCAGTCCAAAAGGTGGTCCGGTAGCCAAGAAGGGTGTTGTCTTCTTTATCGACTTCACTTTTGGAGCCTTCTTTCACAGACCTTGTTGTGCAAGAAACTTCTTCAAGCCCACGTGAAAGCTGTTGTTCTCTTCTTTCTTTGCTGTCTTGAACTCCAGCCATCTTGCAAAAATCCACTCCGGATTCCTCAGCAAAACAGCAAGCATGCGGAAGTTGTCCGTACTGGGTTCACAAGAAAGTTGAAGTTATATTTGTCTATTCCAAGCCTCACGGCCAACCTCCCAACCGGAGCATCTTCAAGCACCGACTTCTCCAAAAGTTTGAACGACAACACCTGTATGTGAAGGCAAGAATGCAGAAGTTGTCCGCGAGCTGAAGCACGCCGAGCTTGCCGCAGCATTCGAGGCCGATCGGGTCGGGTGAGTCGGCGGAGCAACTGGGCGAAGACAAAGAAGAACAGGGCTTTGATTGAAGGCTCGGAGCAGGCCTTATTGCTGTTTTGAATTGGTTCTTGAAAAACAGAACAAGATGCATTCCCAATGGACATGGAAGGGATCACATCAAGATGAAGAAATCGAAGATCTTCTACAAGAATTGGCACGACTCAAACTACGACTATCAAAGATTGACCGAAGGGAAAACTTGAGGTCCCTTGGCCGGGACTGTAATGGTGCCGGGGCACGTATGCCGCCACAATGGCTTCAAGATCCTTCGTTCCAACAAAATCCTTACTAACCGACGACGACGACGAGGGCATTGCAGATGATCAAATATCTTCCATCCCACCCTCGATCGAGTTCAACTTCGAAGAAGTTGAAGATCCGTTGCCAAAATCGTCGTCTTTGCTAATCTTGAATGAACCCGTGTATGACGTGTACGATGACGACATGTTCAATGAAGTTCTTGATCTAGAGCAACACGCATATGATGATGATGATGAGAGCAAGAAGGATTCCCAGCCGAAGCTAGTCGTGCCTATCATTCCTGATATGACAATGAGCATGCTTTCCATCATTGATATTAGACTCGGTATGATTCAAGCAGATCATGGAAAACACCTTGATACCTTTGTACATTCTGATACAAAGTGCATGGAGGCGCTCTCTTTGGATACTGATATTGGCATGGTTGATCAGTTTGGTGTCGGGTTTGATTCAAACCTTGAAAATTACTAACTGAAGGAGCTAACTAAGAAGGAGATTTCTAATGATAAGGATGAGAAAGAAAGGAAAAAGAACAAACCCCTTAAGTTCATCAAAAACTTTCATCAACTCCAGCTTATGTTGAAGTCTCTTTTAGACGGGGTGAATGACACTAAGTGGAAGTATCCAGGCTAGTTTAGCCAACCACACCCGCCTCCTTCTTGTGGACAACAAACATCTTTCTATGATCCTGAAGTTCCTTCTACCCCGGTAGTATGACGCCGGAGATGAGCCATTAGTTGTGTTAACTTCAGGATAATTCAATCCATTTGGTAGCTTATCTGGCTACATAGATTTAGTGCTTTCATTTATTTTGTGTAGCCTAGTATGTTCCTTCTTTTGGGCTATAAATAGGTAGCCAATGTCATGTAATAGAGATAGATTTGGAGATGAATAATATTTGAGTAGTTTTTACACTGCTTTTGGGTTTCTGTATCCTGAAGGATTTCAGGTGGTGATCCCTACCCCAAGAAGGAGTTCTTGGTCCCGTCACCGGATCCTCGACGTGGATTCGTCGAGACCCCTACCTGGCCGGTGTCACATTATAGGAAAATGTGGCATTGCTGGCAGAATTTTATGTAGAAAAATTCCGTCAGTAATTAGTATAGTTGATGGTATTTCTTGCATCTTTTTTTTTCAAAAATTTTACTTAATTTTCAATAGAAGAAACCTCCAAAAAATTTATTGGAGGAAACCTTATTTCATCCCAAGAGTGTCCCCATCATCTTCCACTTCTCATTTTTTATCCTCTGATGGTTCTCACAAGCTCCTCTCGGCCATTCTGTCGCCCATCTTTTTTATAGGTAATTTCCAGAACATTTTTCATCATTTTTTTATATTTAGAAGGAAAAACATCTTTTCTTTAATTATGAACTATTTTTT